CAACGAAAGGTCAGCTGTTTATTACTTGAACCTTCCCGACTACTTTGCAACGAACCATCGAATCCTGCATCCACGTAGAGACACCCTTGCCATTTTGTTCCCTTCCTCTCCTTACTTCCTTTCAGTTCCTTTGTTTTGTTGTAATTCGTGTTTTAATTTCAACAATTTATCACTGAACACTGGTCACGTAAAGAAAAAAAAAACGATAAGTAAAATAAAATAGTATATTGAAAGACAAGTGTTACAATGCGACCTATTGTAATACGACTATCTTGTGGCACGAGTGGCGACGCGAAGCGTAGCCACGAGTGTCCGCAAGATAGGAGTATTACAATAAAGCATTGTAACACGCGTTTTTCATACTATTTTTTCTATTTCGGTGCTTTAATTTAATTTAAAAAAAACATTATCAGAAACTATAGGGAACATTAGAACTAACATGTTTTATGTTGGGAACACTTTTTATGCCGTTAAGTTTTAGGTTGGCAGCGTAGTAAGACTGACATTTTGATGTTCAAACATGGAAGTACCCAACGAAGTACCTACTTGTACTCATATATATCGGGCGATCAAAAATGAGTGACTGTCGAGTCGCCTTTGAAAGTTGAAGTTAAGTACGATTTCCCATGTAAACAAAAATTCCAAAGGTGACTCGCCGGTCACTCATTTTTGATCGCAATGTATAAGAGAAGTATATATGCTTGTACTAACTAGTAACTGCCAACTTAAGAGATGAGTTACCAAAAAAAAACGACTTTAATCACTGTCTTTGTACAACTGTTTTCGGCCGAAAACAGTTGTACAAAATCATCATTGTGACACCGAAATAGAAAAACATTGTTGTGCTGTTATTCAGTTATTGGTTATGTATTACTTTAAAACCGACAACCCTTCTGGTTGGTCGGACGATTAGATCTACTTTTTTTGGTTGTGCCTACTGCACCGAATTATTATTTTTGTACGTTTATGATTGTTAGGCAGTTATCAAGATAGCCTGTTGTTTTTTTTTGGTTCTTAAAAAGGTAGAATGCCCGAGGTGAGGTACGTTTTTAGTAGCCCGTGAAAGAAAGGCCTTTGTTTTACCCCCGCACTAATTATTTTTGATTTTCATTTTAAACGCTCTAGACCCCAAGCGTGAGGATCTAGCGGCACTTGCTACTGCAAGAGTTTATTTTATTTTCATTATTTGTACGTTGGGAACTTTAATCTAAAATTTTTATTAACCGTTCAAGATACAGCGATCCCTTGATATTATAGATATACAGATCTTTAAATTCTATGCATATCAACAACTAATTTAATAAACGACCAGTTCACCCCCAATAGTTTTTTTTTTGAATTTACAGGTATGTGTTGTTGTGTGTCCTTTTATCTTTCAGGTTCTGCGTTTCCTGTAGGTATCTTCTTGCATTTTCAAACGTAGTGGCGCTACCCTAGTCAATCAGAACCACGCGAATATATCCCTGAAATCTGAACCGCCTCGCTCCTGCATCAGAGCTAGACCGGAGCAATACCGGCATTTCTTTTTGCGCCCAAATGAAACCGTTATAGGTGGATCATTATTATTAACTAATAAAATTTAAAAATTGACATCTCTCACCATTGAAGATGGAGACGACTAAAATAAAATCTTAAAATTAATTGATCATAGACTAATTGATTAATCAATCTGATTAATTAATTAAATGATTAATGAATTATTTGGATAAAATATACGCCACTGGTTATTAAAAATTTCGGAATTTCTGCGTAAGGGGTAACTTTAGTGAAAATATGCTATCTACATTTTTTGTAGGAAATTTTCGTCTCTTTAATGTTGCTCACCACATATTTTCTCATAAAATGCGCAGTTTTGGAGATAACGGCGGAAAACCGCTTTTGACGGCCATCTTGGCAAGATGGCGGCCCCGGCGGCAAGTTTAGAATTGTGCATTTTATGAATTTTAGATCTACGCACTCAAGCATACAAAATTTCTGTACTTCCCGAGTTATTTTCAGGTAAAAATCGTCAATGACTGGCCTATTAGCAGAAGCAGAACAAATGAAGCACTAACCAATCCACCCAGTCCCGAGATTTGTGCCGACAAAAGTGTGCGAAGTTAGCAGCACATCTAAAAATCGAAATAACTTCCAAACGGTATGTTTTGCTGGCAAACTTTTTACGGCACAAACCGGCACAAACGAAGCACTAACCAACCCACCTAGTCTCGACATTTGTGCCTTCAATGTGCTGCTAACTTCACGGACCCAGCGCTGCTCCGTCGTACTGGAAGTAAATGTTCCCATCTAGATCGTCTGCATGTAATTGTGGGAACAGAACATTTGCGAGCATATCCAGACACACAATACCGTTTATGGTTTTCCCTCGAAAAAAGAAGGGTTCCGTACACCCAGATTTATTATGAGTTATGCTACAACCACTCCGAACAAAATTCTTATGCCTGAGTAAATTGTAGGCCTACTATAGCGCGTTCGCACCTTCAGTATGGTGCTTATAGGCTTAGGTACATGCTTGCCAAACTTATTAACAAACGTGACAATGCCAGCACAAGGAGATTGTGTTGTGTTTTAATACTTCAATTCAATCACATGTCAATTAACATAATTGTGGTGAGGAACAAGAATAGCGTTATTAAAGAATGACGCAAATTAGTAACAGAGGCATTTAATCCATAAGACGCCATACTTCATCTGGAGGTGCGAACGCAGTATAGAAGGTTCCTTTTCATACTCGGTACGAAATTTACGTTGAACTCTTGTTCGGGTTCCCTGGTTCATTACTGCAATCTTGACTTACTCTGTACTTAGAGTTGGCAACACTGGGGAAAAAATTAGATACAAGCTGAGGCATCACATTGTGATCACTTTAAAATATTGGAAACAGTCGTCTCCGTCTGGATGGTGCGAATAGAACTCCTACGTTGTTGCCAATTCTGGATGTGTTGGGACGTGAGACACAATCGAGAAGGAATTAGTGAAATGCGCGCACGAAAAATATGAAAAATGATATATATGACGCACGAAAGGCGAGGAAAAACGCATAGATACAAGAATTAAATCAACTACGGCAACAAAATGCAAACTCAAACATCTCCAATCGTACAATTAAAATCAGTTAAAGACGGTTAAACAAATTAATAAAAATGAGATACAGGTGACATAAATACAAATGGTAAATAAGATAAATGAATAGTAGTACAAAAATCCCTTTCGGCTCAGCCGATCAGGTGTAGGTTTCCGCCATTTTGTTCCAATATGGCAGAATTTGCTGATTCAACTTGACCGCGATATTTATGAGTTACACCAAACCATTGAATAAGTTTATTCAATGACCAAACGTTAAAGTTTGGTCGAAATCGGTTAATAATTACGAAAGTTAGAGTGTTTCTTGGAAGTGATATATAAATAAACCTATAAATAAACTGGTACAGTTACAATAGAGGTAGATAGAAATTTACCTAAAACACAGCCTACTATTTAAACACAGTAAAGAAACGTTTAATTTTTGGTTTATGACTAAAATTTATAAAAATATAGGTTGTGTATCAATGTAATCAGGAAAAAGCATGCAAAAAAATTGACGTTAGATATACAGGGTGTTGCATTTTAAAGATACCAACTTTGGGTCAAATCACCTAAACGGTGGTCCAAAAATTTATTTTTACCACGCCACTGGATTCTACGTAAAATATCTAGAATGGATAGTGTTTACCTTTTTGCTATCTCACATGGGTAGTAATAAGATACGATAACATCCTAAAAACTCCTTTTCGTTTTCACCATGTATCTCAGAAACAAATGTAGCTAGATTGATTCTGTTTGTGTTATTAAAAGTTTCACAAAAAAGTGGTACAAGGTCGCGAAAACCACAAGTCTTTATTACATCTTTAAAAACAGCTGAGATACACCGCAGTCTCAATCAAAATAGGACGCACGGTACAACATAATAAAAAAAACAATATATTGAGCACGCAATGCTTCAATAAACAAAATATCAGTATTTAATGCAAAATATAAATAATAACAAACGAAATTTAAACAAAAGTTGGTTAGTGCGAGAAACAAAGAAAAACAAAGAAAATAATCGCACGTCGACTTTTTGTCAAGGTTCATACCCAAAAGTTCCGGTTCCCGACGGTTGCGCAAAACCGTCGGAGACTTATCACGATTGCTGTATACATAGTGTTTCGTATTTTTTCTTTCAGGTGTAAGGAGTGTTGCCTAACCGTAGGGACATATCATCACAAATGAGAAAACATGAACACATTGTATACACAAACATATAAATAAAAATTTATTGATGTTTCCACCCTGTATTAATACAATTAGTAACAAATTTTAATTGCTGTAAACCGGTTTAAGATAAACAACTTCTATTTGCACAAGTAACTTTCCCATAATTGAGCCCTAGAATTGCCATGCCGGTCCATAATAGTAGGGCGAATTATCGAGATGATTAAAGACCTCAAGAGGCTCTTCTCGAAATGGTACCTTTGGCCGCATCCCTGTTTGTCCGTTCGTCTGTCCCTGCAATAATTCTAGATAATGACTTGTTAGGACTTTCGATGTTTGCAGCTGTTTATTGCGATTGTGATTCCATGTTATTCGTTATGTTCTTATTTTTTTATTTGTACTTTCATTGTCTGTGAGCTGTAAATCATGTTTTAACACTTAATAGAGATTTCGTTAAGTATGAAATTTGGAAAGTGTTTGCTAGTCAACAGGCGACAAATTATTCCGTGGCCGTTATAAATTTAAGTACCAAAACGCCTTTGTTTGAAAACGTGATAAAGATGTAATTACGTTGATCCCACGGATAGGACAGTGCAAATAGGGTCAGGGGACGTCAGTAATTCAAGCGTGCGAAATCTCTTAATGTGCACCAAATTGCGCATGCAGTACCTTCCCTTTCAAAATTCGTTTTCGCATACGAATTTTGCTTTTCACTCAAAGAAATTGTCATATCAACACAAAATTTAACAAACTCTCTTTTTTAACAGAAATACTCGGAGCGTGCAGCGGAAGACGCTTGGCTTGATATCCAAGAGCATCCGGTGTTTTCACCAGACGGAAACAGTTTTCTCCTTTTGGCGCCGGTCCAAGAAGGAAGCATAGAAACGTACACCCACATTAAGCACGTCACGTTAGCGCAACAACGCATCGCGGTGTTAAGTCACGGCCGATTGGAGGTAACTAAAATATTAGGGTGGAATTCTTTCAATCATACAATGTAAGTAGGCACCAGTGTTTCAATTGTTACCTGCTCAAATTTTTAGATATTATTTGGGCACGCAAGAGAATAAACCGGGGCAACGTCACCTTTACGTTATTCGAAATCCTTCGAGAGAGGAGGATAGCAGAAGGATCGCACCTGAGTGTATAACGTGCGATTTAGGGAAATTGTGGAGTAGTAGATATTACTACAGCAACTGCACTCATTTTAGCGCATCGGTAATCGGTAGCTCGGATAATCCAAATTACTCACAGCATGCTTGCAGATAAGTCCTAGTAGTAATACGACGGACATGCTATATTACGTCCTTGTATGCGAAGGACCAGGGCTTCCATTAGCAGGAGTGCACTCTGCAAAAACTAACAAATTATTAAGGCTACTGTACGATACGAGGCCCCAGCAAGGGCCACTTTTGAGTCAATTTGCTTTACCAAAGCAGTGGTCTTTTGAGGTGCCTTTGTCCCAAGGTAGTAAAGCTCAGGTTCAACTTTTACTTCCTCCAAGTTGGAGACCGGAACTACGAGATGCCGCATATCCCGTTGTTGTAGAAGTGTAAGTTAATTGTTGCAATCTTGATCGAAGATCTTATAAGTGTATTTGTTTAGCAATGGAAGACCTGGTAGTAAGGCGGTTACGGAAAAGTTTCGAATTGATTGGGGGACGTATATGTCGAGCCACTGCGATGTCGTATACGTTCGTTTAGATGTTCGAGGCTCCTTAGGACAAAGTAACCATGCACTATACCGCCATATAGGTGGTATAGAGGTGCTGGATCAAGTTTTTGTTTTGAAGTACCTACTCGAAACCCTCACTTTTCTTGATGAAACTAGAGTAGGATTATGGGGATGGGGTTATGGTGGTTATGTCACTTCGATGGTTCTAGGTTCTCAACAAAAAGTGTTTAAATGTGGTATTGCAGTTAGTCCTATTGCTGATTGGCTTTATTACAGTAAGTAATTTAGTAGCGTGTAGATTAGTAAGTACGTACGTGCTCGCCTTTATTGATAATGATAATAATCTCTCTAGATAGCTATTCTACTAGCACTTAAGCACATCTTATATTATAACGAACAGATCATTGGTTTCAGTTGATAGTCGAGGCGGTACACATAAGAAACGGGGACTTTACAACCCTTTTAAAAACTTTTCCCGCATGCTTCAATACAAAATATTCTCGCCAGGAGTATTTCGCCCCGCGTCATCGATTTGTGAATTAATTTCAGACAAGGTTTCTACAAGATACCTATAGACCACAGCAAAACCTAATAAATGTGCGAAATTGATTCACAAATCGATTACGATGGACCCTCTATGTTTTTAAGCTTTTCCAATACCATTGTAATAGTATATTTCATTACGAGTCCGGAAAGCAGGCTTTTTCCGTGGGCGCATGATTAGAAGTCATGCAAACACGGGAAAAGCCTTTCTGGACGTGTAATGAACGATATTTTTCATTATACCTCTCCGAAAATAACGGAGAATAATTATTTACATTGAAGTCCAAATCCAATTTGACAACAAATTCTGTTGCTTGTCTTATGACCCTTAAACCCCCATTATCTTCAACGCATCATCAATAGTCGAGCGAATTGTATCGTCTCCCCTGCATCTTGCTCCAAATTTCCGAATACTAAAATAACCTTAGTAAGTAATCACCATTTTATCTCTGCAGCTTCATTCAAAAATTGCTCCCTTGTTATACAGAACTTTTGATTTTTTTGGGATGTAGCGGACGGTCTGACGCTTCAAAAAATCGGTTTTGCACAATTTGCTAGCGTTTTCATTTTCTTTTACCGTAAGAATGTTCTTAATCATTGAAAACCTACTCCATAACGTACTCTTTTCACGATTTCTTCAATGCACCAGTTATGAAATTTTTCATATTCCTTTTCGCATCTCTCTTTTGATTTCGCTGGTAATAGTTGGGAACTGGTTTCTGCAGCTTCCCTTAATATATTAGCGGGAATTTCGACTTCACCAAAATCCATTTTTAACACAACGGTAAAAAATCGGTTGACATATATGTCAAAGCTTTGAATATAAAATTAGGAAGAAGTCTAGCCTAATGGGAACTTGTGGATCCGTGACAATCGCAGGAGAGGTAAGGTGTACCTCTCCCACTTTTATAATAATATAATCGGTTTTAGAGCGAATATTATGCTCCGAATTGCGTTTGCACTGAAGATTTCAATACTGTAATCTTTTGTTGGTACGTATACTAGTCGCGCGCACTTTAAATGAAAACGCTGCCGATACCAATTGGGATACAAAAAATTTCATAGAACAAAAATTGTAGACAATTAAATTTACTATAAAAAAGTCCGCGACGGCATATATCTATCTTTAATCGTTTAGCCATATCAACCATTTAAAGTTGCACATCTTGATTGCGTTGGCATTCATAGTATCTTTGATTGCTTATCATATATTAAGGGTTGAAGATACATATATGCCATCGCGGACTTTTTTGTAGGAAATTAAATTCTCTACAATTTATCTTTTATAACTTTTTTTGTATCTCTTTTTGTTTTCTCAGCGTTTGTAAAAAAATGTACGCACATCTTAATTTTGAACTTTTAATAAACTTTTTAGTTAAAAAAGAATCTGGCGTAGGTACGACTCGAACCCTTGACCTACATGTTGTTATAATTTCAGGTGCTTTTGGGGGTTCCGGTTGGGATGATCGAAGCGTTGTAAAAATTGAAACTGTCGTTATTTTTTTGCCATTCTGCTCAAAGCGCAAGGGAAATATGCGAAAATGGGAAATGAAAAAAACGATGTTCTTATTTTTATTTTTATTATTAGTGCAATTCACATATTATCGAGCTCCTTGCGAGTATAATAAGGAAGGCCCTTTTGACATCTACGTGAGTTATGAAGTGAATTGCATGAAATTCAATATGGGCATAGCTTTAGCAATATAATACGCAATGGCAAAAGTTGAGCCTAATCGATTCAAAATGCATAGTGCTCTTTTGGTATCTCGGCCATATATGAACCGAATTGCAAACTTTTTTAAATTTAGAAATGTATTTAAATTACATTTGATACCTACATATGCACTTGGAATAAAAGCAAATGTAACGCCATTTTCAAAATTTGGTTTTGCGCATGCGCAGTGCCAACTTATTTATTTATGAACATAACAGGTTACCCCAATAACAATGTTCATGTATTGTTAATAAAAAAACTATTCGAAAACATAAAGAATATAAAGAATATATGTTAAGTTGGTAAAAAAAACAAAAGAAAAAAAAAGAAAAAATGCTGTGAAAAATTTTTTCCAGTCCTTGGATATTGTCACACGATCTTTCAAACTGTCTTAGGGCAAATCTAACACCAGGTTCAATTTGGTTTTGCACATACTATAGCCATACCCAAGAGCTCGTTTGCTATATTTTTTACACAGATATTTTTACCCATACTAATAATACACTATCAGAAGGGCGTGAAGCAAAGCCCTATAATTCATCAAAAGTACGGTTTGGGCTGGATGTCATTTCACTCAACAAAACCAAATGTACTCTATGTAAAAAAATCCGCTGAATCTGAAAATCATAATCCCCTGGCCGGAAACTCCCGAAATATATTGTTATACAGAAAAAATGAAGAAAAAAATGGGAAAATGTTTTTTTTCGCATTTGACTGACGTTAACTATCGCCCCGAGTGAAAAAATGAAGAGAAGTGATATTTTTTATGAACTTTTCCATTTTTTTTTCCGGTGAGGTATTCAAGTAAATTTGTTTAGAATCGAATTGTCTATGTAGACCATACATTTAGTGTGGAACGTTCATTCTTATGTTATTGTTTTTATGGAGAAATATAAAAAAACGCATTTCCGAAAATTAACAATCTGTTATCACTATTCATCATTCATATTTGGTCCCTTCTTTTGATAACAAAACAATACGACAAACCCGATCACCGTAGGTATTATAGTCATTGATTAAATAAACAAACAAATTGGATAAGTCTCATAACGTTCTAAATTTTTGTACAGATGGTGGAACCCCAAAGCAACCTTTTCCTAAAGTTGTCTCGATGATTTCTGCAAATTGACGGACGGATTTCGACGTATTTTTTTTTAATATTAGGTACATTTTCCGAGAGGTTTCTGTTCGCCTATTATGGAGATTTCTTGTTATATTTCGGAAATTATTCCATTTGTTAACTAGCAAAAGTCTTCGGATTTTCCAAAAAAAAGTTTGATAGTCCGTCGATTTGCAAGAATCATCGGGACAATTGTTGGAAACGGTTTGCTTAGGGTTCCACTAGCGGAAATAATTGGGGGAGAATCTGGGAGTCACCCACCTTGAAAGACAAAGCATGGATTTTTTAATTTGTATTTTTAATTAATCAATGACTATGATATCTACGGTGATCGGGTGATCGGTTGCCGTATTGTTCCGTTATCAAGCTACGGATAATATAAAAGATAGGATGAATTTTGATTAGTAACAGATTGTTAATTTTCGGGATTACTTTTTTTATATCTTTCCATAAAAAAGCAATAACTTTTGAAAATGAATGTTCCATACCAACTGTATCTTATAGAAAATTCGATTCTAATCAAATTTATTTCTCTTCATTTTCTCTCAGAGCAATAGATAACGAGATAATTGAAGTCAAATGCAAAAAAGACGAAATTTTCCCATTCTTTCTTTCTTTTTTTACGTTTTATAACAATTATACAGGGTCCTATAACACTGCGTCGGTCTTTTCTAGTTCATACCTGGTAAAAAATAGCAAAAAATCTTTTGTGCAAATGTCAACTATAGAATGTTATGCATATACAGAAATTATTTTTGAATGTACAGAGTGTCTCATGTTTACGGTGTCAATACACAGCTGATTTTTTTAAATGGAACAGTATGTTTATTTTTAGCGAATTCGATGTCATTTTTTAACCTCTGCAGGCCAAATTATTAATTTTTTTTCGAATAATTCTCTATAAACCAACCCCACTTTGATAAATCGTAGCGACCTTGATTTTAAAGTTAAGAAATAGAAATCAATAATTTTAATTCGAATAAAAGGCAACACAAAAAAATTGTAAAATTTCTAGATTTCAAAGTGCTATAACTATTTTTATTCAAATGGAACTACCACTATTTTGTTTCTCTATTCGATGGTCTGTTGTGCGCTCTTCAATTCTTAGAAGGGATATCCTGTGCCTGAACCCCGTAGTTTTTAAGTTATTCAATATTTTTCACTACGCAGTTGCACATTAATAAATTACATGTTTATAAACAGGAGTAAACCGTGATAATAAAAAAACCAAAGAATGCCAAATAGTAAACAAGTGCCATAAATTAATTGTTTGCTGCAAGTGTACTCATTATTTCCTAGTAAAATAAGATTTTTTAAAAAGACTAGTTCGAAATTCGCCTTTTTAATTAATCTTATTTTACTACGAAATAGGGAGCACATTAATTGGAGCAGATAATTTACTTGTGACACTTGCTTACTGGAATTCTATTGGTTTCTATTTCTATTATCACGGCTTACTCGATCCTGTTTATAAACATTAAACATGTAATTCATTATTGTTTTGTGAAAAATATTGAATAACCTAAAAATTAGGGGGTTTAGGCACAGGAGACTCCTTATAAAACTTAAATAGCACACAAAACCCTATCGAATAGAGAAATAAAATAGTGGTAAGAAAACATTGAATCGTACCATAAAATTTCTCACAACCTTTGAATTTAAGATTCAGTCACAAAACGAAAGGTACCCACATTTACTTTCAAACGCCGTGAAAACGAAACTTCGTACAGAAAAACTCATAAAACATAAATTGTAGAGAATTTAATTTCCTACAAAAAAGTCCGCGACAGCATATATGTATCTTTAACCATTAATATATGATAAGCGTTCAAAGATATTATTGAAACCAACGAGGACACTAGGTACAACTTTAAATGGTTGGTAAGGCTAAACGATTAAAGATAGATATATGCCGTCACGGACTTTTTT